AATTTCCATTTATCAGATAGTTCAACAAACAGTGAAATGTTGGACCCTGGCACATTTTTAAGTTTTACAGTGAAGCCTGACCTTAGGGTATTATCTGCTCTGCTGCTGTTCTAACACCTTCTTGGTGTGAAACATGGATAAATACTTCTTTCCTTTTTGTGCTTTAGCTTCTGTGGGAAGGAAATGTCAGCACACAAACCAGAAGTAAATGCTGGCAGATGTGAGGCTGAGTAGCAAAACCTGGTAAGGCACATACTGCCTGCACAGTGTCAGTGTATCCTTTGAGCTATAAATGGCAAGAGTTTTAAATACAAATGCAAACATTCTTTATTAAAAATAATACACACTTTAAGAAATATCTACTGCCAAAGTCCAGATATGATGATTCTTTCTGATTAAAAACTATCCAGAAACATCGTTTGATAATATATCTTCATGATATTTTCAGACTCCAGGACAGCAGGACCAGGTGATGAGGCAGCAGATGGAGCAGTTGCAAAGGCTAGTGGCTGAACAGCAGAAAATCATCTCACTTTACAACCCAGGTACTTGGGGAATCCCTCTTGATGCCATGGCACTCTCACCTGCTGATGCTTGCACTCCAGCAGTGAAATGTTGCAGTTAGTTGTTTTCAGCAGCTGTGGGCTCCTCCTCTGGCAGTTGAGATAAAACATTAATTTCTTTACAAATATTACACACAAGCTGTAACCCCCAGAAAATGCTTGTTTCCACTTTTTTATATTAAAATTCCAGAAGAACCATGAGGAGGAATCCTTTCAGCTTAATAACAGACCTCCTGTACAGACTTCTATTGAAGTATAGATTTGAATGGTACTGCAGAAAATTATAGCATGGTGGTGAACATTACAGAAAAGCTGAAATATCCTTTTTTTCTGTACCTATATATGAAAGTTACAGGTTTCACATAGAACAAAGAAGAGGAAAAAAGCTAACACACTCTGCTTCTGTTAATAGACTTTTATCTTTAATAGTACAGCCTATTCCTCACAGCATGATACAACTCCTTGAACAGCTTCATTTTACCAGTAGCATTATCAGAAAATGCCATTTGCTCAGCAGGTAGAAAAAGAGGATCTCCCCACCCTTCCCACCCTGTCCACAGTAGTAGCACATTCTTCTCAGCTTGTGACCCATGGTGAAAGAAGAATTTAGGGAAATCACATAGACATGTGACAGCATTGGCCTGGCATTAGCAGGGCTGCTTGTGCATGACATTAGGCAGGGAACATCCATAAGGGCATAGGAAAGCTAGATGATCCTTGTATTGCTGCTGCTCCTCAGATAACCTGCTGGGGTTACCTAATCCACGTGGTAGGAACCTGAACAGCCTAAGACGTCCCCTGCCTGCATCTGTGCATTGATCTAGCATCACATTTCTCAGTCTATTTTCAAGCTTCTTTGCCCAGTGGAGGAGCTTCAAGAATCTCATTCTGCTAAGATCTCAGAGGATACGCAGAAGAAGTGATGGCACCTTGCATGTTAGAGTTCCATATAGCCTGATGGGGTCTTACAAATAGCTTTTTAGAGCTGAAAAGCTACATTTTTTTCCAAAATTTGCTTCCCTCGTTCCAATCATACATAATGTGAGGAAATCCTCTCAGTTAAAGACAGCCATGTTTTTTGCTGTCCCTCCACGCATGTATAAAAATATTTCATAGCACACCTAGTATGACCAGTTTGAACAGAATAATTTATAATCAAAATTCTATTTCAGTTGCCATACGAGGAACATCTGCTTTCAAAGGCCCACTCAAAACAATAGGCATTACTTCATGCAGAGTTAATGATAATAATAAAACCACCAAGAATTTATGGTATCTTGCCTTGCCCCCACCCTCATCACAGAAACTTGGCACTTGTTAGCTGGCTTTAGGGAACCATGACCTTACATTATTGTTGCCATAAAAGAAATTTTAGCAAATTTCATTTACCTCACTAATATATATATATATATATATATATATATATATATATAACAGCAGTTATTAGCCAACAAAATAAAAGGGTTTAGAAAAGTGGAATAAACCAACATTGGCCAGGGAAATGTTTGCAGACTTTTAACTTCCCTCTATTCCCATTGTAACAAAAATGGAAGAAAACTTTAAAAAACCCCAGTCTTTTAAACCTGTGTATATGCATGCATAATTAGATCTCTATAAATATACCAAATGGTCTCTGCTGGTTTCAAGTGTCAGCATCTTTTAAGAATATCTGAGCTCTGGGGCTTTGCTTCATTCCCTCAGCTGCATAGGGTCAGAGAACTTTCTTTTAGAAAGACAAAAAGTTGGGCTGGACAAACACCAGACAACTGGATCCATTGCGCTGTTGGCGTGCAGCAGATACTGACATTGAACATGGTAACAGCACCTTGAAAAGCCGTATGGCTGTCAGAGGTGCAGAGTATGTACATAATCAGCAGGTCTACATGGGTGTATATGCACCAAGTAGGAAACAAGGGCCAAACACCACCCCACTGTGACCACCAAAAACCTGGGTTTCTGCAGCTTAGGTTGTCTGCTTGTGTTGTGGGGACCTTTCTGAGCTTCCTGATGATGACAGCAATGCAAAGCAATATGAGACTGAAGGGAACAAGAAACTTGACAAAGAACACAGTGTCACATCTGATTGAAGGTCTCATTTTCAAACGTGATGCTGTGTGACAATCAGTTTTTTTAAGCTGGGGGGTAAGCAGGGTCTCAACCATTGACCCCACAGCCAGAAGCCAAGCCACACCAGCAGTGACACCAACAGGCCTGACTGTCATTGTACTGATTTTCCTGATGGAGCTATGCCACTGTGAAATAGCTGTCAAGAGTCACAGCTGTATACTAGGGACACAGCTTGAGAAAAAGACAGAATGAGGGCTATGGCTAAGTAAATTAAATCTTCATGATCCTGTGCTTGTTGCCTCAGAGAAGCCTGGCTGAAATGGCCAGCAAATGCTCAGCGAGCTGTCTGCAATGGCCAGGTTGAACAAATACACAGTCTGGGGCTTCCAGGTTTCCTAGTCAAGGCAGATCACACACAGAGCAATTATGTTGCTCTTTAATCCCAGCCCAAATGCCACAATTAGCAAGATGCTTATTGTTACTTCCACCATTCGCTGTGAGCAGAACAGTTAGGCTGCCCCACTCTCTTTGGGTTCTCAGGAAGGACTGAACAGCATGCAAAAAGGAAAGTGCCTTGGGTCCTGCTATGCTTCATCTTCCCCCTTCCCCAGTGCTGTAAATCACTTGATAAATTTCTGAAGAAAGCGAGCACAGTTAGTATCATGAGCTGAAAACCAAGCTCATACACTAAGAAATATATTTATAGGATGCTGTTGGGCTGTATTTACATATCCAGATTGTCCTGGTTCAGCCAGGATAGAGTCAAGTTTTCCCCAGCAGAGAGAGAGGGGGAAGGGATCTCCAGCCGGGTTATTCATACCATGCTGGTGTCAGGTCCAGGGGCAGAACCTTTTCCTTGCTCTTTGGCGGGCTTGGGAGGGAACTTTGCTTTCCGTAAACCAGCTAGCGGTATTTCTCTGTATATCGTTTGTCTTGTTCACTGTTATTGCTGTTTATTGTTGTTACCATTGATACTGTTGTTGTTTGGATTGTTCTATTACTCTCTTGTATTAAATTTCTTGTTATTTTAGCCAGGGTCTGTGTCTAACTTCCAGCCCAACCGGCGCAGGTAGGGGAGGGGCAATGGCAACGTGCTCTCTCATCCCGGCAAGGCTTAAACCTTGCACACAGATATACTTAACTAACATAGAAAGCCACAGACAGAATGGTTGCTTGAATGAAAAGGTGATCAAAATCTGCACTGAAAGTTCTCATTTGTGAGTGGAGGCAGTGGAGGTTGAGGGTAGCAAAAGACATTGCATAATCTGTTCCTGTCATGCTTTAAAGAAGCAAAATATGAAGAACTACTAGGGCTATAATTACCTTACTATGGCAAAGGTAGTTGCTTTAATATTGCCATGCATTTAAAGAAATAATACAGTGACCAACAATAAAATCAAAACCTCATTGAACTACAGGTTATCCTTGCAATGTCTCTCATGGTAACAGACAGAAGTGGCTCTGCCCATCTGCCAGCTGTGTGGTTAGAGCACCTTCCCAGAAGCAGTGAGGTGGGCTTTTATCTGAGTCTGTGCCAGACCAGATTTGAATCCACAGATCAGCCTTCTTCCAAAAAATGCCTTAACTGTGAGGTGAGGCAATTTCAGTCGCAGGCGGTCTCTATTCTTCTTGTTGAAGTCAGGTCACAGGACAGAAAAGAATCATGGTGTGGAGAACAAAAATAAGAAGCAAGCCTAATTTTGTAACCTTATAAAGGGGTTTCTTTCCTGGAAGTAGTGAGCCTGGCCTCTGGTCCCTGTGCAGAACTGCTTAAACCTTTTCCACTTGGAAGTCTTCTAATAAAATGTGTAACCAGCCATCTAGACCTAAAAGGAAAACCTTCCCCTCTTTTGCATCAAGGAGAGCCTCAGAGAAACTTTCCAATACTTAACTTTTACCTGCTAAGGGACTTAAGGAGTCCTAGGGGAAATGTGTGTTTCACATGCTCAGGAGTACTTTGTAAATTCTCTTTAATTCAGCATCCCCATAGCATATGATAATTTCGTTTAGGACTGATGATTGCAGCAAGCACGTTTTACAATTTAAATAAAATAACAAAAGCAGAATTTGATTATTTCACTCTGAACATGCAAACCATCCAGGAACATGAAAGCAACATTGGGTTTTGTGCAATACCAGTTTAGCAAGAGTTTTATACTTTGGTGCAAAATATTTGTCTTAAGCTTCTCTAATTTTCCTCTCTGGTAATTATTTTTAGGCCTTTCTGTTTCTCCTGGAATACCTTCCCACCTAGCAGCCACGATGCCACCCTTTCCGTGCTTTCCAGCTACTTTCATTCCTTCTCAGTTCCCATCAGAAAAGCCTTCCCAAGTTGAGACCCCGGAGTACTTACAAAGCTCTCCCTTAGCAATGCACTCTGCTTGGCAATGCAGATCCCCGCTGTGCGTGCCAAATGAGAGCAGTTCAGAAATCTCAGGAGAGCATGTGCAGTTTTCAGATTCAGGTGGGTAAAAAACGCTGGAAATCTGAAGCTAAGGCTATTGTGCAAGTCCTGTGAATTTTTGCCCTTGCTAGTGATTGTTGCTGATTTTACTGCAGGTCAGGGGAAGGTGATTTGTTTATATGGTGGCTTGTTCTAAAAGCTTTTAAGGAATTTTAAACTTTATTTTTAAAATTTTTTGAATCATGGTCATCCTGCGTGAGAAATTGGGCCTTGTAGATATAAATGGTGAAGAAAGTCATTAAATTGAAAAAGCTGTTATATGAAGTAGGGAGGATGTTATATTTAGGGGGAGAAGTATAAAAAGTAGGAAGTGGATATAGCTTCCAAAGGCAAGAGGGTGTGTTTCTTTAACTAGGAAGGCCTGGTCTTCATCAGCAATCTTGGCATTTCTCACACTGACATGGAGAACATTTGGAGAGAAAACAGTGTAAGCTTGGCGTCTTCCCTTTGCTACACTTTGCCAGCCCGTCTTCTGTGGGAAGATACCAAAGGCTGAGAAAGAAGAAAGAATGATTTGCAAGAAATCAAATGCCGATTTCAAAATGGGTGGAAGAACAAAAGAAGTGGAAATGAAACTGCTTAAAGGGGAAGAGGATGTAAATCAGATCTGCATCCTGGATTCCTTTGAACTTCTATAGCAAGACTTGACTGTGATGCTGTGAGACAGTCCCATAGTACAATTAAAACTTTAATTTCATATTCTTCAATCTAGCTCAGGACCAGTATTCTCACTGAAGGAGACTTGTCTCTTTCTTGTGCCTGGCACTATTATTTTCTTGCTGGAATAACCTGAACCAGGGTCAGTTGCCAAGTGAAGCTTATCAGAGAGTTTCAGAAATCTCTCAGCACAAAAGTGGGAAGGGGGGTGGATAGGACATCAGGAACCTGAGAGCAAAAACACATGAAGAACAGAGGACAGGAGGAAGTATGGCTGCTTTTTTTGACAGCAGTGCTGACTTAGACTTGCTTCATGTATGTAAAACTAAGGCTTGAATGTGCAGAGGCCTTAGTGCATCAGGTTAACTCCTGGCTGGAAGCTGGTCAGTGCAGTTGCCTTTGAAATATGCTTCAGCTGAATGTGTGATTGAGGACTGGGCTGAACTGAGACCTTCCTGACTGTTGTGATGAGTGTGGGTTTTTAATACTGAAACATAAACATGAGTGTACCAATAGCTTGTATAACACTTCTCATTCTTATTTAAAGGGATAAGCACCGAGCCATTGATTCAGTATACTGAGAGCCCCACAAAAAATATTTCCAGACAAGATGCTCAAGAAGAGAACAGAAAAGAAAACAAAGGTGAATTACACAGCTGCTTGGACACACTGTTCTTGCCTTGCTCTGGGAAGCACTAGTTGAAAATAACAGTGCTGGGGCACCACCCCTATTAGAGCATTCTGGAGACAGCATAGCCCCACACAAGACTGAGGAGGGACACATGGGTTCTGCATCCCTTGCTGCTGTCAATCTACTGTGTTACCTCTGCCTCCTCAGCCATATTCTGGTGCAAGGCAGGTGAGAAGGTTGCAGAAACAGCACTTGCTTGTCTGCTATCAGACTGGAGATTTTTGGTGTGTAGCTGGGAAATGGTGAGAGAAGGATGTAAAGCTTTTGTATTCCTGTTGTTGGACCAGAAACTCCTTTCAGGATGTTGCAAAGGTCTTCAGTAACACTGGGTGCATTGAGACAAAGTGAGCTATATAGTTCCTGGCAACAGTGTGTAGTATGAATGAGCCTGTAAAGGCTTTTTGCTGCAGCTGACAGGCTTAACATGCACTAAAACGGCAAGTCTTCATTAGCTGACACAAAAAAGATTAATTGAAGTGGGAGTCTTGTAGTGAACATAGCCAACAAGCTTCAATAGGAAGATGTACAAATTTGCATTTTTGTGAAATAGAATAGAAAATGCCCGGTTAGAAAGTCTCATGTGTACAAATATTGCTTGTTAAACTGTTTAATGAACTGGCCTGCAGGTCACATAATTACAGACACATGAGTAGTTCAGTACTGTCTAGCAAAGTGTCTCCATTGAAATTTCCTGCAGTGAAGACATTAACCGAGCATTACAAATCTCTAGAGGCAAGGAGTAGAAATCATACCATTTGCCCTTTCCTTATTTCTAGCAACTAGCCTTCAGGATCCAGAGCCTCTTTTTTTCATGGGCTGCATCCTTCCACCTCCTTAATTCAATTGTATTTTATAAAGTGTTTTCAAAAATCAAAATCTTGCATATGTTGTTGAAAATTTAAACAGTTATTTATTTTATGTTTATTTTTCATTTATTCTTTCTATAAAGGCTTTGTTTTCATTGACCTTTTTCCTGCTGCTTAGATAACAGTCAATTAAAAGAAAGGAGTTTCCCTGAAACATTTTCTGCTGTCAAAGAAGAACAAAGAGAAATAAAGGAGGAGATTATTCCATCTCCCTTTGACATAGAGGGGAAGATGAAGACTGGAAACATAGAAGACAGGTGAGAAATGATCTTAATCAGCCCATCAAGCTACAAAAGCGTGTTTTCCTTGATTGTACATATACTGTATGCATTATATTTGCAACACAAAGGTTCTTTCCTTTGAGAGTGGCAGGTATGCGTGGGCAGAGATTGGACAGGTCTAGGAACTGGCAGTTGATCTACTTTTATATAATAGGATGCTGGTTTAGCCAATTTAAATGAACCAGTTTTGCAGCTATGATCTTCAAAGGGTAGAAGTCAGTCAAAAGCTGGCAGGGCTAGATAACTTCTTTTGTTATGCCATCATTTCTTCTGCAGTGGTCATCAGTTTGTGATGCCAGCATCAGTCTGAGTAGCTCATTCATTCTTGTCCTTGCTCTGACTCTTCAGCTGTGACAAGACCAATTTTTATGTGCCTATATAGTGAACATGTCAGTGAAGTAATCCTTGTTAAAATGATCTGGAGAGAGGAAAAATGCAACTTTTAACTAGGACCAGTTTGCTGATCTGGTTCATCACTGCATTGCAAAAGTATTTGTAGCAGCACACTGAGGGAGTGCTTATGGCTAGGCAAGAATTGGTAGGCTGGCAGTAGTGATGGGAGAAATGCTTGTAGAGTTGTTACCTTTCCTCAGCTGATTCAGATAGAAGCAGCAGCTTGTTGGCACACCAAGCCTTCCATCAAGTATAAAAGAGAAGCAGCAAACTTCTAGGCAAGTACAGACTGAGAGTGATTGTCATGAGTGTGTTTTGGTGCATTAACCATGTGGAAGCTGGGCAGAGAAGGAAGACAGGCACCTGCAGAGCAGAAGGCTGGGAAGAGGTGGCAGGACCATAAGCACCTCTGGGCAAGTGGGCCTGTGCACATATGCCTTTTTGGATCAGCAGTGAGCTTCTGAAGTCTGTCTCCCAGTCACCCTGACTTGTGCTTTGGTTTACACTGTGGTCTTAGCATGAGCTGGATGAAACTGAAGCACAGAATGTACTCCAACTCTTCATGACATTTTTGCTATGGGACAAGGCTATAGTTGGTTTGAAGTAAACTTCCCTGAAATGTGTGTCATCTAACACTGAGCCCTCAGTAACAATAGTTTTGCTCTACAGATCTAACCCTATTAGGCCATGGTGCATACTAACAGACAGCCAGACTGACAAATGAAAAGATTATCTGTGTTACAGTGCTGTTAGGTGGAGGTGGGGTGTAGAAAGAACAGTAATGTGCTGCATAACCAGTACCTCTAGTAAATCCAGGATTTTTTAATATTCAGTAGAAATTATTAGTAAGTGACTAAATTAAGGCTCTAAGCACACTTCCAATGAAATAAGATACACGCATCTATGCTGTATTATGCTTCATTTTGAGTCAGCGTTCAATTTGTCCCTCCACAACATTTATGACATTATTTTTCTCTATCACTCTTCACTAGCTAATTCAACCCACTCTGTCAGAGATAGTGAGTTCTTTGTGACTGTAACCAGCTCTAGTCTGGAGAAAATGGCTAAAATATTTTTCCTTTTGACTATTTTCTATTTTTAAGGAGAGATTGATACCAGCCAAAAAATGTTACTTGCTAAAAGTGTAATTAATGTTTAGACTAGACAGGATGTTTTCAAGTGAGACTTAAATGTCACACAACAGTGGCCTGTTTATTAACATGCTTCACATTTTAAAAAATGCAGAGAACATTTCCGTTCTAAACTCAACAGCGTATCCATTTTAAAAGAAAACTAATTGGAGAACCTTATAAATAAGTACCTTCTTGCTTGTTGCCTAGGCCAATCACACTACCCATTGGTATTAGACAGAAGACTTCTGAAGAATTTGTTGAAGAACAACTTAAAGTAGATAATCATCTCATAGAAAAACAGCAGAAGGAGCAGCAGGTACTCTGCCACTGGTGCATTCTCTTTTTTTTTGTTTTTTTTTGACAAGTTCTCATTGACTTGGGTATTGTGTGGGCTCTGTTTTGGCTCACTGCATGGCAGCACATCTTTCCACTGTTCTTTCATGTGATATTGGAAGATTTTTTCCAAAATTAAAAAAACCTGTATTACTCAGTCACTGTCATATTCCCCACTGTTTCCCACTGTTTTCTTCTCTTTCCACATACTTTCTGGGTCATAGTTTGTTCCTGAGTCTCAACATAATTAGTTAACTCAGGGTTGATTCTGTTTATTTCACAATAAATCTGCTTCTTGCCTCATGTGCAGTTTGAGATGACTTCATGTCTGACACCTCTAGGTGTCAGACTCAGCATTTTGTTAGGTTTGTTGGCTTGGAAGATGCACATTTCATCACTCAGGAATTTTCTCTATGTCTCCCTGGCAAAGTAACATCTCATACTGATGCATTTATATGCTTCTGTGTCACATTGTAAAAACCACTCAAACTTCATTTAAAAACAAAGAAACACAGAACTTTTCTCATCTTCTATCATATAAGTACTTAGCACCATCTTAATCATCTGACTCTACTAATAAGTAGTGACTGCTTCTAAAAGTTCTTGTACTTTTCTTGCAGTCTTGGGGCTGTTACTTATGTACTCATTTATCCATAGCCAGTGTCTTTAAGACTTCTGGTGTCTCAGCTTTTTCAATTATCATAAATATTTTTCTTTCTGTAGAAAGATACTCAGACTGTGATTGTCAGGATTTCTGTTTTTTTCAGAGCAAGGTGAAATTAACACCTCAGAAAGCTTTTCTGAAACGAAAAGAAGGTATGGCAAGACTCAAAAAAAATAAACAGAACCCTTTCAAAGAAGACAGCAAGCATTCTCGAAGAGCTGGTTTGGACTGTTGGAGTCATTTCTCCCAGCCTGGCCAAGTGGATGCAGGCATAATGAAGCCAGGGGAATTCTCTGAGTTAAATCTCCAGGTCAGTAGTTCCATGCAGATGGGTACACATGAAAAAAAAGCAGACTGTGCTTTAGCTAAGTGGGAGATAGAGACTCAAACTGACTGTGAAGCAAAAGTAGTTGACCAAAGTGCAGAAGAAAAAGAAGTGATTGGGAGAGATAAAGATGTAAAGGAAAATCCTGTTGACTCACCACAGAGAAGGTGGCCTGAAATCCTGCAACCATGTCCTGAAAAAATAACAGAAATGAACCTACAAGAAGCTGAGGAAAGGGAAACTCATCATATGGATTCTCCAGGGCAAGGAGGCAGAACTGGTGGAAGACCTGTGGAGGGTACTCCGCAAAAAGACCTTGGTAGGGTAGAGCAGCCTCTGAAGGGTCATCTCATACAGAGAGCAAAATCCCCCTTGGAAGTCCTGCAAAATCATTCTCCACTTCAGGATTTAGAAACAGATCACATCAAGGAGGCAGGGTGGAGTGCAGGCCCTGCGTTCAGACAGGGTCAGAAGTGGGTTCAGGTATGGCCACAGGAACTTGTTCTGGGGAGCCAGAGCTCAGAAAGCAAAAGACACATCCATACTAGGTTTAAAATGGTCAATGATAAGATAGTAAAAATTACATGTAGCTCACCTAAGGCTGTGGAGAAGGGAAGCTCATCCTCAGCTTTGCAGCAGGAGTGGCAAAGGAAAGGGACAGCTACCTCAACATGGCATGTTGCATCTTTATCCTGTGAGTCAAGCTGCTTATCCTCCAACAGTGATGATGACCCCAAACCTCACCATGCTCAGTATCCCTCCCAGCATGGGCCTCAGGGAGTAGATCATATTGACAGACATCTGGATCTTTCTGATGGTGATTATGCTAGTGATGAGCCCAGTGGAACTGAAAAAATGTCTGCTAAAAAGTACAGCAGATCGCCCCCAAGGAAGAAAGATAGTCAAGCGATCTCAAGACAGAAAGGTCTCCACTGCAGCACAAGCAGTAGTGATTCCAGTACTGGGGTTGTCAGGCTGAAAGGGAGCAAGGTTCATCTCACAAGATTGAAAAGAAGAGAGCAAGAGCTGGAATCAAAGAATGAAGATGAGGTCAGGGATGTTAAAAGCCTACATCTGCCATCCTCAACAGTGGCTGGGGAGACTCCTGCTTTCAAGATTAAAGAAACCCCTGCAGTGGAAGAACCATGGAAAAAACTGTTTACAGACACATTAGGTAAGAACTACCCAAGTTTTGATTTACATTTATTTTCCATAGGGGAAAAAAATTTCTCTTGGATTTATGACTCATTCTGACTGTGCTCTCCAGGTATATGCCCACCTCTGTTGGTATCTGTCAGTCCTAAACTGGAAAAAAAGAGAAGAGGGGAGAGATATATCTGCAAGCCCCTTGTTATGCTTGGCTCTCCATTGTCACTAGCCATTTTTCCTAAGTCTGTTGCTTGAGTTACAATTTCAGGTGCAGACTTTTGACTCCATAAGATGTGTGGGAGATTCAGTGAGTCCCTGGAGTCAGTGCTAGGGTTACCTGTAGCTTAGGTATGTTTCTCCCACTGACCCCTTGACAATGAGATGTTCACATTTTCTATTTACACTCCTCAAAGATAAGGTGACTTCAAGAAAGGTGGACAAAATCATTTCTCAAATTTGCATGCTTTTTTCCTAAGACACAGAGAGCCCCACATCAGTGGAAAATTATGATTTCCTAAGAACATCTTCACTCAGTTTGTCCTGAATGTGGTCCCAGTTCTTTGGTCAACCAATCTTTCTAGCCTTTTGGCCCAGTGATCTTATTATACTTCTAGCAATGAAATGGTATCCTGCTTGAGCAGGATTGTCTCCTTTTTATTAAACTGGTTCTTGACTTTTCTTCTCTCTTAGTTTCCACTGAAGGACTTCCCTCACTTTGACTCCTCACCTCAACACCACTAGCTGTGTCTTTGTGTAGGACCAGTCAAAATCAGTTGTCCTGCCTTCAGTAATCACCTGTGCAGAAGTATTAACATCTGATGGGCCTCAATTGCTCTGTCACAACTTGCCAAACACACTTAGGCTGCTGTTAAAAAAAGGGTTCCTGAGGCCTCTTTGAAAGTTACATTCAAAATTAGGTTGAACTATCACGTGGCATTCACATGCCTGAAAAGGAATTCAGCTACTGACTCCTATATATCCCCAAATCCGTTTCACTTATCATGATTTGTAGGGCTTCAGTTGCACTACTAAGAACTCTGCTGGGAACAGAATACTTGCATAATTAGGCAAAGATACATTAATTCTTTTTGATAGATTAAGCAATAAAGATTACTGCACTTATGCAGTCTGTGGCTTTAAATACATAGAAAGGTTTCATAAATATTCACAGAGTTCTGTGTACTAACATGAATTTCTTTATAGAAGAAACCCAGAACATCCTTACCAGAGGATTAGAGACTGATGTACACTGCCAAGGAACCCCTTCACTGACTAGGGTGAAAGCAGAACAAGAGAAAGCAATGCATTTTCACAGGTAAATCTGTATACACCAGAAATTGGTTTGTGTGCGGTGAGGCAAATATTTCCTTTAGGATCCTTAAAATCAGACTGCTAAATTCTTACTTATTAGCTAGCTTCTTTTAGAGGGCATCTATGTTGACTCAGAACTGAAACACTTATTTAGATGTCTATATTAAAAGTAAAGTGCCTAACTGAAGGGGACTCTGGTGCAGTTTGGATCTTAAAGCTGAGCAATGCTGAATGCTTTTTATAAGTTGCTGAACATCTTCAGATAACACTGAAATCAGTAAGAACTCAAGACAATTTTTTTTATGGGATCGGGGCCCTGATAGAGTGAAGGATAAACTTCTCATATCACATTCACATCAGTGTAGCTGTATTTCAAAGTTAACAAAAGTGTATATGTCAATGTTAAGAGAATTGTTATTTCAGGAACACCTATCTTCAGACTAGACTGAGGATGCATTTTGTACCATATAAGTGAAGAACTTGAAAATTCAAGAGTGTTGCTTGTGTGATTTGTAATTATTAAATGCTGAAAATTGTTTTGTTTTGGTTTTGGTTTGGTTTACATCTTCACAGAAGAAAAGCAATTCTTTACCACAAAATCCCTGCAAGAAATAAGTTTTGAAACTATGGGGTTTGGAATGGAAGTGCCTTCACAACTATAACTAATTACAGGTTATGCATGCTTACAATCAAATAAAATATTTTTTTTTTACGTGATGAAATCTGTTAGAAATTACTAGGTAGTATCTACTGTAAACACAGGAGAGATTCTTTCCCTCTTTGCATTTCAAGCCTAGTTCTTAACTAGTGCCAAATTAGTGTAGTTTAGTGATTTGAATTTTATTTCAATATATAATGCAAAGTAAAAAATTATTTTTCATGTTCTTGTCCATTCCTCTTGATTTCAAAGACCATGGGGTTAGTGCCAAAGGATATTTCTGAATTACATTTATCAGTTTGTATAGTTTCCTCCTATAGATGTCTTTCATCAAAATCTTTCAACGTCTTAAAAATAAATGGTTTCATTAAAGGTCCTTCTTGTTTGTGATCTTGAAAACATATCAGAAGATGATCTCTGGCTGACTGTGATAGGTGTTCTAGATGTGAATATTTGTGGGCTTTGGCAGTTTGTAAAACTACTAATGAAATTAGGTGCTGCTTTTACTTTTATTGGTGTAAATTTTGGCTGTGGAGTGATGTGCTTGTGCAGAATTACTGCAGTGCTGCACTCTGCCAGCATTGCATTCTCTGCCTGCTGACAGTGCTTCCTCACAGTGGACATGGCTTTGATTTTTTCTGTAATAGTGCAGGTTTTAAAAAAAGCTTTCCATGGATTTATGTCATTAGCCATAGTAGCCCCTAACATTTCCATACAAATGTTTATCCAAAAATGTCTGCCTAGTATAATCTGCACGTCTTTTCACTTACTGTTTCTAACTTCTGAGCTAAAACTAACTGCGAACGGCAGCTGATTCTCCTTGACTGTGTTGGCCCTGTGCATTTTTAAACCTATATCAGGAACACAAGATGGCCACCACATCAGTAATACTTCACTTGTGCCATGTTGACAACTTGTGCTTGCTGGAAGCAAAGAAAATCCATTTGAGAGCAGCACAAACATGCCTGGACCTGCTCAGTCTATCCATTCTTTCGTTTCCAAGCACTTTGTTTTCAGACCTTTGCAGGCACAAACAATGTAGGCAACAGGGTGAAAACAGTTGGGAAATAGTGTCTTGTGTATATCTGGTGCCTAACAGAACCTGGACAGTGCTCAAGGCAGTAGCACCCTTGCAGCACTGAGGTAGCTGTTGCCAGCTCTTGACATCAGTGAGAGGATTCAGTGATGGTTATTTCCTTGTTTATTCAACAAGGACAGCTCTTTTGCCATTTTTAATACATAATTTCCTTGTAGTATTGAATCTGCACTCTCTCTGGACTAACAGCAGTAGCCAACATGTTGGTTTTTTTTTTTCCTACATGCATTTCACTAAAAGACTTTTTCTTGGAAAAAAGACTTTTGCTTCAGCTATGTTTTTTGCCTCACAGCCAGACTGCTGCAATGTGCCTCATGCAGAGCTATGCCTGAGATGCATTCAAGAATTTGAGTTAGCACTAAGTGGTTAGCCTTTTTAATGTATTTTATATCTGTGTTGTGCATCTAGCTCCTATTTGTAATTTATAGCCGGGGTATGAATGGTTGTCAGCCCTAAAGAAGTATTCTGTGTGCCCTTCGTTATTACATTTCCCCAGGCCAGGGTCTGTTTTCTAGCCTTGAGGCAAAGTGGCCCAGCAGAATACCTCCATGTGACTAACCTGCCTTACCCTGCAGACCAGAGTGGCCACAACCAAGCTGTCTGCTGGACCTGATCCCTGGGCTGCAGTAACCTCCAAACCTTGCCCAGCATGGTCTAGTGCAGTGCTGGATGGCCCATGCCAAGACCAGAGGTCATGCTAGAGATGTGGTGCTCTGGACAATTGCACACTTGGGTTCATGCTCCAGCTCTGATTAGTTCATTTGTACAAGTGTGTAACTCTTGTGCAATTCTGAAGACGTTGATATCAGCTGAGATGCTGGAAGGAATTGCAGGCTGGATTTTATTTTACAGGGTGCAAGAAACTTAAGACAGTACTGCTCAGTCCTCAGTGGAAGATGTTATATATAGCTCTTGCATATTGCTTTTGTTCTAGTACATTGTATTTCAGGGCAACTAATCCAGATATGGAGCAGTGGTAGGCTGGACATAATCACGCAGGGGGTATATCTGCTAATTTAACTGTATTAATGTGAGGAGAGTTAATACTTCTATTGAGTATTGCTGAGACTTTTTTTTAGCACGCCTTTAACGAGAATATTAGAAAGGCTTATTTAGGGTACAAAACAATGAAAAAACAAAAATTAGGTAATGGATTGTAAAGAGCAGCAGGATATGGAGTAACATTTACAACAGGAGTTTGTTTATTTCTTACTATCTCAGAACTTTCAGATTTTGCTGCTGAAGTGCTGACAGAAAGCATGAGGTCATGGTTGCCTCCTGTAACTTGTGTTGCTTTTCAAGTAATAGGTGGTGGCCAGATGGTGGCTGTAGGCCATGAAGTGATCTGAAGCAGGAAGCTAATAAATAATTTAGTATCATCTTAAAAATGAACTAAGCAGCTAGATCATAGTCATGCAAATATACTCTGTCTGAGGATATATGTAAAGATTTATACTCTTCTACTCTTGCTGAGTTTTTAAGTGCACTTCCAGACAACTCATGGCTTGAGACACTGAGTTCAAAGGCAAAATCTCTTCTGGGTGCTGAGCTCCCACATCTAACATATTTACCTATGGAAAGTAAAGTACTTTATCCCCTTTCATTCAGGTCCATGGCTGTTCTGATTTGTAGTAATGACTGGGCTGCTGGCAATACACCTCAGACCACAGTCTTGCATGATGAAGTGCTTCATAGGTGTAATGCCAGGGAACAAGCTGTGCCTTCTGCAGGTTTGCACTAATTTAGCTATCTGTATGAACAGAAAATGCATTCGAAAGCCTGTAAGTTCATGGTCTTTACGTTGTCAGAAAATTTTAATGAGGATTGTTTCCATCTGCTCAATAGAATAAATTTTGAAGCTGAATGCATGCATGGGCGTTCCCAGTGATGAAGGACCTCAACTTTGACAAGGGATGATAACTTGCCACTCCCAGCAGTATCAGCATATATGGCACATGCCCAAGCCCTCCAAAAATCATGCCCCAAGAAGGTACATCTAAAGATAGTCCTTTGTCAGTCTTTATGACAACTTCATATTTTTTGTTTACCTTATGAACAGAATACGAATGGACCAGCTCAAGACTGCCCGAAGCCAGGAGCTAACTCACCCTTTGGAATACAACAGACACCAAATTCACCCACTGCAGAAAGAAAAAATTGCCCATAGCAGGTTCAAAGGAACAGCTGGAGTCACTGCAGAAAAAGTGAAATCAGAAGAAATACAAGTAAGCTGCCTTCTGTAGAATAAATACACAGTTCTCATCAATTACTAGCCTATGGAAGGATCTTATGATAGTAAAGCGTCTTACGATAGTACCTGAATCCTTTCATTTGCTACAGATGGCCAATTATTCAAGCTACTTCTCGACGACAGTTGTGTGTACAGTGATGGTGTTTTATGTTATTAGGAGATTGTTTTGGCTTGTATTTTGAATGTACATTCTGCTGTCTTTATATAAGAAAAAAATGGCTTCTGCCTTCTATTTCTTAAGGAAGGTTGGGAGGTTTCTGTGTTCCTTATTCTTCCTTGTACTGATTTGCCCAGATATGAGGTGGCTCTTGAAAAATTTCCAACTCTTGACACAGTGGGTTTTATGTCTTTTTGATATAAAAAGCCGTTGTGACACAGAAGTATTGGCTGTAACTCTCTATTCTCATCCCTGAGCTGGGAGTTTGCTGATTTTTCTCTTTAAACTATCCTGACCTTTGGCTTTGAGGTATTTTGAGGGTATCTAGCTGTGTACCTACAACCTAATCTCCCTAATAACATCCCCGAGTCATTGTGTTTTTTTCTAAATTCCTTTAGGGGATTCTATCTGTTTGAATCCTCAATTTCAGCCTCCTTAATGATAAAGTAATCTCTGAATATCTGTGGCTATTGTCCCTATTAAAAATGGCTAGACATAATACGACTTTAAGTAATTTTCTAGAATCACTGATAAAGAGAAAAATAAGTTATGTGAGCCAGTGATAAAGGACATGGTGACTATTAAAAGCTCTGTTTTTGTAGGATAAAAGAGTAGGCAATGGTAATGCTCAGAAATGTCTGGAACAATGTTCTGCTGCAAAAGGATGTCTAAACCAAACTGATAGATTTGACAGCAAACTGACAATTTCAATTATTTTCTTGATCAGAACAAATAAAAGTGGCAATAATATGTTCAAACTTTCTATCTTTATTTATCATTTGTGTATTTTTGAAATACATATTTTCGTACCATACACACAGTGGATGTTCTCTCTGCTCATGTTCTGTTTTTGTCTAGAGGTAATATTTACAACAGGAAATTATTAACCGTTTCAGTGAGGTTATTTTAGTACTTTGGTTAAAGATATTTTGAATGTCCTCTCTGCACAATATTTTGAAACATCATCTTTCTTTACACCTGGGATTTCAAAAAAGTTGTTAGAATTTCTGATAGGGAATAATGGTGTTTCCTGACTAGGTTTAGTCCTAGAGATGAAGTTTGATGAAATTGTTTTAATCTTTTGTTCCCACCTGATAGCATAATTAGTGCAGGTTCAAAAATTTAATTCTCCATGAAAGAGTTCCAAAACACTTTCTGAGTCGCATATCTGTGTGATTGCCAAGTTCAGAAGTCTGCTTCTTCATGAAAATGGCTGATGGATGTGTGAAATTCTGAGCAAAGAAAGGACGGTGATTAGAACACAAGTGGGAAGATACACAAGTAAAGGAAAAGTAGGAAAAGGGTGAATGTGATAATTGGTTGACTACAGAGCAAACTGCTCATATCTAGCTTAATGCCATGAATATTCCATTTTCAGTATCCAGCATGAGTGTTCTGAATGAAGAGGACTCAGTGTGGACTTCAGCACGGGTGAGGGAGGGAGAAGGCAGTAGGAAAAAACAACGGAGATGCATGTATATGGAAAGGCCTCTCCAAAATGCACTAAATTTCATTAATTTTCCTGAACTCAGCTGAAAATTGTCTTTGCAATCCCCTGCTGTTTGTAAGGACCATTTAAATATTCATGTGCCCTTGTCACTAGATGAGGATCTGATGAACTGACATTTTTGCCATTAAAATATATCTTGTAATTTTTGCTGGGTTTTGAAAATATTCACATTTAATGGTGTTTGTTTGCATGATTAGTTTGCATTTTCTGATTTTCCTTCACACAGCAAGGACTCTGTTCACTTTGTAACAACTAGTTGTTTTAATATAGGAGTTTGCAGGGTAATGTTTTTTTTGTTAGTTTGGGGTTGATTTTTGTTTTTTTAAGAAATCATTTCATATGTGTTCTTTTTATATTGTAGACCTTTATATTGAAGACCTTTATACTGTAGACCTTGAAGCAGAACAAAAGAGCCTGTGTTTCCTTCTGGATATATAAGGTGGGCACACTGAGTCCAGAGCAGGCAATGACAGAGCACACTTTTTTTATACTGGTAGATACTAAAACATCAGATTGCTGGACTGCAGGAGGAGTTCAAGAGAAATGAGTCCTGCTGGCATGCTGCCTACAGCAAGCTGAGAGACCAAGTTGAGATGCTGACCAGGCAGAACATGGAGCTTCAAGATGAGCTCAGAGTTTCAGAACATCAGAGACGAAAAGCAGAAAACCCCCCAGAAGCTGTGAATTTCATGGACAGAAAATCAAAGACCCCGGTACTGGAAGATATTTTCTGTTTAATATTGCCTGAAAAATTAAGGAATTTTTCTTTTGAGCTGTCCTGTGTGAATACTGTTCCTCCATTTCTGCCATGCTTAGCCTGAAGGGGGGAAAATCAGCTCTGTAGTAAGCCATATTACAATATACTCTTTTTGTGGTCCTCTTCCACTTAGCCTTACTGATCCAAGAGGTGGGCACCTCTACAAGGTGATATAGCCAACCTATTTTAGACACTTATATCAGGGCAGATGACTCCATCTACTAACTAGGGAGGGAGTCTAGATAACTAATTTACATTCAATGCCTAAATTAGTCAACTAAAATATCCTGAAATGAATTCTACTCTTTAGGTATATAATGCAGGTGCAGGCTGGTTTCTGGCAATGATATAGTGGGACCTTTTATTAAATCTAATTTCAGTTCTTATTTTGTGCTGTAAACTTTCTGGGAAGAAAACACAAGTTGGACTCCTGAATGGAAGTTACACTGGGGTGGAGCAGGAAGGACAATCAGGGTGGGAAATATAGCTGGCTAGCTTAAATGTCTCTGATGATCTCCTGAAATCAAAACGGTTTAATCATAGGTTTACAGATTCTCTTGCCATTTCTCATTCAGTATCTCATTTGTTTAATATACTTGTAGGGCTACTTGTTACCTTGGCTTACTAACTTCATTTAAGGGAGTTAAATGAAGGGAGAAGAATGCTGTGATCCACTTCTTACAGAGGAGACAGCAAGACTAGGTGAAATTTAATGGTTGAGACTAGAATTCAAAGGACAGAAGTCTGGTTTGAGTGGGTCATTTCATCTCCCTGTGTATTCAAGGGAGAAAAATATGTGACTTTGAAGAGGGATCAATTTCATTCTATGTGCATCAAGACCACTAGAAAAAATAATTATCTTCTAGATGGTGCAGTCTGGTGAGATGAATCCTACTCTTCCACAGAGTGGCTGAACCTAGGAGAAAATAAAATTGAGCCATTTATTCCTAGATATTTCTCTAATTTGCAAATCTAATTTTTAGTAATGTATCTTTAAAAGACATTAGAACCACCAATTAACCTCTCCTTTGCTTTATGGAGTGAATAAGTTTTGGTCTCTCTTTTTATTTGATTTTAATGTACTTGTCAATGACATTTTTCACCTAACACTATTAAGTTCCATTGAGAATGTCAAGTTACATTTCACTTTAATTTTCCCAGACCTACTTGTTCATATGACTTATCTTATAGATTGTGAAGATCAGAAAAAAAGATTAGTCACATGTACAGAATGGAAAATATTACAATTTCAATGAAATAAAGGATAAGAAAAAGCTAATTGGCTTCTGCTGTAGGCTAGATTTCTGTATTTTTTCTACTGCTTTGGAACATTTGGTGATGTAGAACTACTGCTCACGCCACTGAAGATTTTGTTGTGTGAGAGTAATATTAGGATGTAGTATATAAAGATGCTAGCATGCCACATACAAAGATTGTTGTGTCTGATACTAGGGATTTTCAGTCCCTAGCAGAACAATATGCAGAATTTCATTCATTGTGTTTAAATATAATAATCTTTATTACAACAGAAAAACAGATGGCTTTGAGGGTTATTTGATTCTACTATCTGTGAATTGAACTTAAAATTATATTTATAACAAATTTTCCATTAGGTTGCAGAAGCTATTCTGCGAGAGACAGCATCTTCATCCAAACAAGAAGAAAGATCATGGAGAAATAATCACAAGACCCACAACATCTCTCATGTGGGACCAAAGACATCTTCGCAAAACCACTTCTTTAGAGATGTGAATAGCAAAGTATGCATTCCTACCATCAGTATTTGCTTTTCCACAATTTCAAATATTTATTTAAGATAATAATTTTTGGAATGAAAATGTGTGCAGATGAAAGTGTCTGTATAAACATGGTCATGTTTTCTTGCAGTGGGCTTGTGCTGTGCGATCATTCAACATAACTTTATAGTTTTTCTTCTGGTTTTGTAGTAGCAGGAGACAAAACTTTTTTTCTGTTTCTAGACCTAAATGAATAGCCTGTTGTTTGCAGGTATGCTCTGAATTCATTGTACCTGTTACTTCACAGATTGGTTTTACAGGGAACTGCTATACCTTGCCTCAGCAAACCATAAATCCAGTATTTTGTCATTTGAGGATTTACTTGCACTAGTCGTCTTCTGCCTGATACAGTCAGTGGGAAAATCACCTGGCTTTTTACAAGTTGTGACATGTTTACCCAGCATGGCAAGTGATATGCTTGTTTCTGACTAGTATCTCTATAACTGCTCCTTCACAGCCAGTTTACCACGTTTCTTATACATCTCACTGTTTAAAATATATAGATATCGAAGTATCTCATTGTACTTTCCTTTCTCTTGCTTTTGTACTTCTTGCTTCTTATTCTGAATGTCTTGATTATTAAAAGTCCCCTTTCTTCCTTTTCCTCACACTTAGCTGAAATTTGTGCTCTGTTCAAGTGAACAGTCTTTCTGAAATTCTTCCCACCTACTGGAAACTAATCTCCCAATCTATTGGCTAAAGCAAAACTTAGCTCAGATTTGCCAACGCACCTCTCTCTCTGCCTCTTTATGGACTGAAATCAAATGTAAAACATGTCAGGTGAGAAAGGAGGCAACTATTCCACTCTAGTGATCATGACAGTGTGTGTCCTGAAAGTCACTAAACAGTGGCTTTAATGAATCCTGCATGGTGCCAGGTATGAAAAGAGATAATGATAAGAACAACTCCAAACTGAATATGCTTAAAAGAGCAGAATCCGTCATGTGTGAAATACAGCTTCAAAGAGGATGCAGATATTATGTGCCTACCTTTGAGACTGCCTATATTTCTAAGCAATATATGTTGTTTATATATCAGAAGGTGGAAGGTTTAGCTGCAGGGAATTGTTTTATTTGTTCTAAACTGATGTCGGATCTTCCCAGTCCCTTCTACAGCTGGGATCTCTCCACGCCTCTGTGCTGTGGTGGACAGAATTACTAGTCAGACAAGGAATGTGTAATACACTATCTGCAGTTAAAGTGTCCAGTAAAGCCAAAAGGCAATCTTTGGTAGCTTATCCTGGAAAGGTATGAAAGAGTTTGCTCCCGCCGAACATCTCAAGCACTCTTGCCAAATGAGTTAAAATCAGAAACATTTATTCTGCATAGACACTTCCTAAGACCCATTGAGTTAATTTGTCTCATGTGGCACACAGCCATGTGCAAAAAATATTGTGGCTTCAGCAACAGTTCTGAGAAGGGGGAAGTTGAGGACAGCAGACTTTTGGGCTCTCTGTTATCTGAGCTTTCACCATCCAGCCAGCATTGGATCCAATCCAACTGGAATCCAGCACAAGCATGAGCTAGATAAATGGGCATAGTGCCCAGATGTCCTGAGTGAACTCTGAAATGTTTGACAGAGCCACATATTCTTTACGTGATCTGATGGCAGAAGGTAGCCTTGGAGTGAATAGAGTGGCTGCTGATTATTTAAATCTAGAATTGAAGGCTCAGGTAAAGGGACATTAAACAGAAGCCCCAAATCTGTGTCATAGCAATAGATCTGACCATGATGACTCACTTGTGTTTCCTTTATATTTGAGCTCTTTTGTTCACAGGTAGATGCTTCCCCTCAAAGATTCTGTGAATCTGGAGAATTCTAAATTTTTGATATAGATAAAACAAACTCTCATGCTGTTTCTGTCCAGAACTGAGAAACTGTGCATGGTAACACATCAAAGTGAATGGGATAACCTTGAGCAACAGAAACAGAGATGCATGTCACAGGGACATGAGCACACCTGCATAAGGTATTTAAGTTAAATCTAGCCAAGACTGGTAAGGTTCATCAGCTGTAGTCAAGAAGGCAAAACAAAACTTAACATCTGACTTATTTTTGTCAAAATTGATAGAATTTGAAAAAGGGGAAACATAACCCCCATTTTTAAAAATGGAAAAAAAGACGACCTTGGAAACTACAGGCCAGTCAGTCTCACCTCTGGGCCTGGCAAGATCATGGAGTGGATCCTCCTGGTAAGTATGCTAGGGCATATGGAAAATAAGGAGGTCACTGGTGACAGCCAACATGGCTCTACTAAGGGCAAATCATGCCTGCTGAATTTGGTGGCCTTCTACAACAGGGTTACAGTACTGGTGGATAAGGGAAAAGCAACTGATGTCATTTACCTGGACTTCTGCAAAGCTTTTGACAGTGTCCCACATGACAGCCTTAGCTCTAAATTGGAGAGACATGGATTTGATGGACGGACAACCTTCCTACCAAGGAATTGGCTGAATGGTCATATTCAAAGAGTTCCAGTCAACGGCTTGATGTCCAGGTGGAGAGCAGAGACAAGTAGTGTTCCTCAGGGGTTGGGGCCAGTGCTGTTTAACATCTTTGTTTGTGACATGGACAGTAGGACTGAGTGCACCCTCAGCAAGTTTGCTGATGAGACCAAGCCATGTGGTGCAGCTGACACACTAGAGGGAAGGGATGTGCCATCCAGAGGAACCTTGTCAGGTTTGAGAGGTGGGCCCATGTGAACCTCATGAAGTTCAACAAGGCCAAGTGCAAGGTCCTGCATGTGGGTCAGGGCAATCCCAGGAACAAATACAGGCTGGGCGAAGAGTGGATTGAGAGCAGCCCTGAGAAGGACCTGGCGAGCAGTAGAGGACGGAAAACTATGAGCCAGCAATGTGTGCTTGCAGCCCAGAAAGCCAACTGTATCCTGGGCTGCATCAAGAGACATGTGGCCAGCATGTTGAAGGAGGGGATTCTCCCCTTCTACTCTACTCCACTCTTATAAGACCTTATCTGGAGTCCTGTGACCAACTCTGGTGTCCCCAACATAAGAAGGACATGGACCTGCTTGAACTGGCCCAGAGAAGGGCCACAAAGATGATTGGGGGACTGGAGCACCTCTCTCGTAAGGACAGGCTGAGAGAGTTGGGATTGTTCAGCCTGGAGAAGAGAAGGGTCTGGGGAGACCTTATAGCGGCCTCCCAGTACTTAAAGGGGGCTACAGGAAAGGTGGGGAGAGACTCTTCATCAGGGAGTGTAGTGATAGGATGAGGGGTAACATTTTTAAAGTGAAAGAAGGTACATTTAGGTTGGATATAAGGAAGAAATTCTTTACAGTGAGATTGATGAGACACTGGAACAGGTTGCCCATAGAAGCTGTGGCTGCCCCCTCCCTGGCAGTGTTCAGGCCAGGTTGGACGGGCCTTTGAGCAACCTGGTCTAGTGCAAGCTGTCCCTGCCCAAGGCAGTGGTGGTGGAACTCGATGATCTTTAAGGTCCCTTCCAACCCAAACCAGTCTATGATTCTATGATTCTATATGTACAAAAACAATTGGGGAACAAGTCTCAACAATGTACAAGTTAAAGACACACATTTTTGGAAGACATGATTTTATGAAAAAATACCCCATATCTGAGAGATGTTCTACACCTCTGAAAAAGACATATTCTGGTTGCCTATAATTATTTTAATGATGTTTTCTGTCTGTATTGTAGCATGACCTAGTTGGTGAGGAACTGGTTACTTCAAGCTGTGCTTTAGTGAGACAAGATAAATGTCCATTTTAACTGCATATCATTAATGATTATTTTCAGAATATTGCTTGAAAGATGTATAAATTTGCCAAAAGTGTTAATACTTATTAATATTAATATTTATTAATATGAATCACCTCCAAACAAGCTGATTTCTGAATGCATCACATTATACATTTAGCAGGAATGAGTTGCCAGTTTCCTGCCAGACATGCAACTATGGATAAATCTTAGCAATTTTTATGAGAAAAGATAGATTAATTTGCATGGGGGGAGTTATACTGAAAGGTATACTGATAACATTCAACCAGGGTCAAATGTGCTTACTTCCAGTCTTATTAAATGGATCTTACTGTCTAATCTTGTAAGGGATTTTGATGACCTTAAGCATTTATTTCCTTGTCTATAATGTTCTTCCTGACCATTTACTAACTCTGAAGCAGGGAAAGTATGAGTTCTGAGAATACCTAGACAGTCTTTAGTTGCTTTTTTTCAGCTTTTTGATCTGTTAGTGGGAATTCAAACTCTACATGTATCTGAAGGTTATAAGAGATCCTTATTTATGGGAACTGACAAATGAGAGATTTCCAGGACAATTCGATTTGTATTAGAATGATGAAGAACTGTAGGTATTAACATGTGGGAGGAAAAAGCTCAGAAAATGTAAAGGATTGTTGTTGAGCACGAGGTTCAAAGAGAACATCATATTTTTAAAGTTTCTCTGGTCTAGGTGGGCCCTGAGTAACAACACCTCTTCCTGCTCTCCACTGCCTGCCTGATAGCATACATAGATCTGTAGGACTAGAGGAACCTTGAGAGGTCACTTGGTCACCCCTTTTGCCAAGAGCAGTATCAGTGTCACTGATGGTTATTTAACCTGTGCTTCTCTAGCTCCCATGACAAATATCCAAAATGAGCCAGCAACTTCTGTTGCCTACCTAACTTCATAACAAAAATCTGTATCTCTTTTGTTGTTACCAGCTCATCAGCTGATTAATTTTTATTCTATTTTCAGTGGAGATGGGAAACAATTGAACTACCTTGTGAATTCTGGGAGGCTGTTTCTTCCTCCATCCCTGCAACCCCTCTGTATCAAAGGGTCTGCATTTACTGGTGATCCATGTGTTTCCAGTGAAGAAAAGTAAAAAGATTTACTGAGATAATTTGATTACTTTGTTTATGAAAGTGATGGAATAGAGAGAATCTTTATCAAGAACCTCATCATGTGTGATTAATCCAAATACTTAGTACTTAAGTCTCTTAAAACATGCAGAGCTAAATTGCAGTGGTTGCCTGGGTTACAGTGATTGTTATGATTTATAAAACAATCTCTTAGAATGACATATCTTAGAATTAATATATGATTTATGAAACAATCTCTTAGAATGACATCTGTCTGTATGAAAACAGAGACCACACATAATTCACTAAGCCTGTCTTGATTCCTCTGACCTTATTGCTTTAAAAATAGGTATGCTACTGTATAATATAAAAATGTGTAATCTATGTGATGCACAAAAAATGAAATCAGCAGCTTTTACAATGGCATACGTAGCAAGCTGGAGTACCCTTCCTAACACTGCTCTGCATGGAGGCTCCCTCAACTGAATAGCTTGTTCTTTAGATATATCATGGACAAAACTCTGTTCATGGAAATACCTCTTCTTTCTTCCTCTTGCTCCTTCACTTTTGCAGTTCTACTTCATGAGCTCATTAGTTCTTTAAGTAAAAAAGAATGAGCACATGCCTCGTCTCATAATTTTTTTTAAAGCCTGTACAGGTCTCTGTCCCTTGGCTATGCCATCACCCACTGCACTGCAACAGTATATATTGACTTCTGAACATCCTTTTCAAAGGTGGCTTTTAGATAGCTCATGAGGCCTCCTTTCCTAAAATAGTCTTTCTAGGCAGCTCTGTGTTTAAAATCTTGCCATAAAATTTTTATTTTTTTTATTTACAAGTCTTACGTAGGTAGTTCTTTAAAAGCTTAAATTGCAATGTGCTTTCTATAATACACCACAGCAAAAAAGAAAATGCTGCCACATGTTAGTGTTTGACTAAAGCTGATGAATATTTAGGCTGCTATGGCCCTCTTGGCACTTTCTGGTGATGATGAGCTAGCTGGCTCAGAACTAACCAGGCAGGAAAAAGCACTTTATTTTTGACTGATTCTACTCGCTGAGCCAGGTCAATCCCCCTCTGTGGTTACTGTTGTCATGTAAAGGAGGGGCTGGAAACACGTGGCTGGGAACAGAGGAAGAAGAGTGGGACTCCAGCAGTCTGGGCTGAGATTGGCTTGAGCTGCTGAGAAACTGCACCAATGACTTTTCAAGTTCTCTTAAATCACTTGGTAGTTTCAGTCTGGAGATCTTTAGCAATAAAATGGTGGCTTAGAAGCTCTTTCCTTCTATCAGTCTGTAATTTCTGAGATAATAAATCCTCATCAAAAATAGTTTTAAAGGTCTTTAGTACCATACCACTTGTCTCAAGCTGAAGTCCCAGGCATATTTTGACAGTTTGCCTACTCACTTGTATTTGAAATCATTATTATATTTGGAGAACTCGGACATATTCACATAATCTGCCTGCAGAAAACATCTCCAAATTTAAAATACGAATCATATTCCTTTAACAATGGGTTCTATTAATTTCTGTATCTTTTAGCACCCTTGTCTGAAAGAGCTAAAGAGTTGCCTATCTCCTGCTCAGAAACATTTTATGCTTGGAGGAAAAGATTTAGCCTTTTAAAATTCCACAGCCTTCTGGTGTTGCAATAGGATTTCTTTCTTGGCTCCTTCCTTGTAAGAACATTCATTAAGCTGTAATGTTATTTATTAATATAAATAGGAGATCACCATCTGCAACAACAGATCCCCTAAATTTCATTGATCACATGGAGAAAAGTTTAGCTGTCAAAAAATGGCCATGGTGACTGTTGTCAGAGAAGGAAATGTGCAGTCTTTTTGCGTTTGTGCTTTGCTAGTCCCATGTCCCTTGATCCATAGCTCACAGACTTCAGCAAATGAAGCTGATGGCAAGTATAGTCTTTCCATGGACTGCTTACACTCACCTTCCCAAGCAGCCACTCTCCAGCGTGTGAGACATTTCAAAACCAGAGTATCTGGTACCATTTCCATGGGTTTTTTAAATGCCTCTTTGTTTCTGATCATCATGTGCTCACTCCTAGTCATTCACTAGCTCAATGCATTAGAGATTATTCTGCTACCTGTTCTGACAGACACAGACACCATTCCTTGCCATTTCTGGGACAACTTCATCAGTGTGGGCAGTGAGACTATGCCTTTGTCTCATACTGCCAGGCGCTTCTACATTAGGTTCAGTACCTTCAAAGTTTTAACTAGGCAAGGGTGCAGCCTTAGTTTTCCTGTCATACCAACATAATGTTTTCCATGTAGCTGCCAACCCCTGGTAGTAATTGTGTAAATCCCATATATCTCATGGTGGTCATGCAGGAATATTTTATGTTTCTCTGTGCTCTGATCTAAGGTTTCCAAGAAAATCTGGGGAACTGCTTTTGAGTAACTGTAATCTTTCCAGTCTAAATATCTGCTATAGTTTGTTTGAAACTGTTCTTGTTCACATGTCATTTCCCTTCCATGGCTCATATCTCTATTAGGGACCTACAAGGCTTTGTGTCAGCCTCAACTGATGGAGAGGTATGAGGGCAAAGTATAAAAAGGGTGGAGGTATGGCAAGTAAATATAAACTGTCATGCAATATGTTTTACTGGGTCAGCTCAGCTGTGGTATCCCAGAGAGAGATAACTTTCCTGCTGTTGGCAGGGAGGTTGGGACTGAGGGATGAGAACCTGATAGCAGCTGCTGGCCTCACACTATGTGCTTTGGAATGCCCTTGACTTGCACCATTGTCCAAGTAGAGAGAAACGTGGGAAGCAAAATAAGACTCCAGATAGAGAATTATGTATAAAATATGTGTGTGTCTGTCTGCGTCTGTGTGTATGCCCACATACACAAATAAACATTTACCTATAAGTTTTAAACAATTAATGATGCACCTGTTGTAGAAGAATTTTTAATGGGATTTGAAGTTGTTTATATCAACTTAATACAAATGTATTCAAACTTTTTAGGCAATAAAAAGCTCTGTGCAAAGGGCTGATCCCTTGAGATTGGTGACAAAGGAACATCAAGAAAAGAAAATCTCTAACAGCTCCCTTGGCAGAAGCACAACACCAACTGGCAGAAGAACACCCCACCAGGGAAGACTGACACCTTTTGAACCAGAAGAAGTAAGTCAGTTGCAAGATCTATTTAGACGGCCTTTATTTTCTTTTTACAGTATTGTTCAGAAGGATCAGAATTCTGATCCCCACATAGCTGCCACTTAAGTATCTTTTCCATAGTACTGCAGGACTTTTTTGCCAGAAATTATCTTAGATGCTGTTCATACATTGAGCTAACTTGCAGGTTAGAGCACAGATAAATGCTTTGAAACCTGCCCCCCTTGCCCTCAGAAGAAGTTCAGAGGTGATCACCTGCACCAAGCATCAGGGCATCGCACAGGCCAATGGCTCCCTGGGGCCAGGGGCTGGGAGCATCAGGAGCTCCCCAAGGAGTCCAGCAGGGCAGGGCCTGTCCCACAGTCCCTGGGAGAAGGGCAGGTTAGGGATAGAAGTCAGGATCAGGCCAGAATCCCAATTATCAAAGCCCATAGTGATGAGACAGGTCTGGGGTCACGACAGGAAGTCAGCCCATTGATCAGGGTTGGGATGTGGATCAATGAGGTGCGTGGCCAGGCACAGGCACGTCTGTGATGCAACCCAACATGGGCCAAGAGTGAGAGCTGCTGAAGTGCAGCTCCCAGGAGAAGGAATGGGGGAGTGGGAGGTAGCCCTGTCTGAGGCTTCTTCCAACTCTTCCACCCACATCCTTTCTCCACAACAGTCTGAATCAAGACTAGACACCTGTACTATATCAGCAGACAGACAGCTAAACACCTAGGAAAGGAAAGTGCACTCTGGCCATGCCACTGGTAGCTCCTGTATTACAGTGAAGCATGACTGTATGCCAGGCCCTCTCCATTTTGCTTCAGGTTGTACATGAACCCTCTCCTATGGGGAGAAGAACAGATGATAGGAAATCACCTGGAGCTGTTTCACATCTGAGTGCTGGTTTTAAGGACCCTAACTCATCTTCCTATGTAAAAGGTAAGGTTTGTGGGTACCTTTCTGTCTGCTTAGAGTGGTCTGCAAATGACTTGGAGACACTGGTCCCCAACTCTTGGCTCACAGGAAATATGTTGTCACTAAAACTCTCCTATGATTCTTAGAAGAATTATGAAATTTTATTTTACAAGAGAGGGAGAGCAGATTGTGCTGTTGTCTGCTTACTCACTGAGTTTGTTGTCCTGGAGGCTCAGAAGGTGGGAGAATGAATGTGATCTGCACTTTACTTTGGTTTAGGATAAAGCACCTTTGGGAGGATGGACAAACTGTTAGCAAACATCAGTGTGGAAGCAATGTGTTGCAAGAATCTGAAAGCTAGCATCTTTAAAAAACCTTCTGGGATAGATATGGAAATATGTGATATGGCAATTTACATATGCTTTCAATGACACCTTTTACTTTGCTTTTTCTTACAGGCAGGTCTTTGCCCATTTCAGGTAGCTCAGAAGACATGCCCCTCTCACATAACCACAGCAATTACACTTGCAGCTTTGCATTCTGCAGTAACAATGAAGAAATAGAGGTATTTCAGCATGTAAATCTATAAAATATTTCAGAGAGTCTATGATCTTAGTTTTCATATACAGCATGCTAACTCCCATTCATCTGGAACAATACTCTCCTGGCTTTATTTTCTTGCCTATACTCATGATATAAGTACAGTCTTTAAAACAATATTGCAATGGTTTACAAATAATACAGTATCAAGATATTCCTGCACAACTGTTGGACATTAGTAGATTTGTGTTGCTAGTTAACATTTTAATTTTGGCTCAGGAAGAAGAGACTCTTGATCTTAAAAAGACAGAAAAGTTGCTAAAACCTCAGAATAAAGTGGCTTTTGTGACCACACACAGGAGAAGTGGCATAACTTCATATGACAACAAAGTATCTACAGACAGTTCTGCATTTCTGGATGCTGAAGCAAAGGTTTGAGGAACTTATGATTCTGGCTCTTACATGTTCAGCAACTGTCTTCTTTCCATTTGTCAGTTGAAATAAAGCACACCAAAAAAATCTTCCACTCCTATTTCCTATGCTATGCAGCAGACACAAAGCTTAATGATGGTCTGGCAACTTCCAGCTCTGTGTTTACAGCTTTATACTGGAACATATCATTGCCCTGTGGGGAGCAGTACTCCCTGCTCCTTTGGATCCCACAATTCAAAACACAGCATATCTTCAAACTGTAATTAACATTAGTTGGTAACTGTTCTGGATGGTATGTGACAGATGTCAATTAACGTAAGGGTCCTTTATGCAGCCAGACAGTTCAAAGAGTGCTCAGTGTAATAGTACATTGGATGTGTAACAATCTGAATAGCCCTTAGTTACATAGTTAGCATCACCTATAGCTAAGAACCATGTAATCTGTTTTGGAATAGTGGATCTAGCTAATACAGGTACCTTTCTTTGCAAATCACTAAACCGGTACCCAGAGATAGCTCTGTTCTTTTGTTTATTCTCTCAGTTTCCTAGAGCGTAGTTTCACCAGAATGCACTCTTGTTACCTAATTTTTGAACTTCCTCTATGCTATCTTTTGCTTTGCAAACTGAAATTAACTGGAGTTAATGTACAACATTTCTAGTTATGAATAAAAGACAAAATTCATTACAAATGCAAGGCAATACCAGAAAGAAGGGCAGCTTTCCTTTGTGTGTGTGAAAGTAAATATGGTTTTTGCACAGTTGATTAAAATCAATGAAAATATTTTAAATACATTTCTGTTTATGTAACACTGACTGTGATGTTTTCATAATATAGCCTCCAAAATCAGTATTATCTAGAAGTCCAATGTTACATCAAGAAAGAAGAAAAAGTGAGGACGAGGTGCAGGAAAAAATAGAGTATCATGATGGAAAGGTGAGATAAAATAGGATGCAAAAATACTTGAAGAAATCACAACAGGACTGCAGTATAGATGAGAATCACTGCTTCAAGTAGTCATAGACAATTATGTCTCTAAGTGAGTTTCTGTTCGTTAAAGGAGAGCTGAAGTGTATAGGTCACACCATGAATGGTAGGAAATATGTACAGCTGATGGGCTGGAAATCAAGTAACCAAATTATTTTCTTATCTCCCACGTGGATTTGCTCTATGACTTTCACCAAATCCTTTTTGTTTCACCTACCTCATTTGTGGGCTGGGAAGAATGATATGCTTACCATATGAAATGAAAATGTGCTAGTGGGGTAGAGATGGTGTTTTGTAGCACAAGATTAAAGGTCATTCTTTTCTTCCCTTGGGAGTGAATCTAATGGCAGTGAGCTGTGCCAGCTGGACACCACTTGTGGGAGAAATCTTTCATTATACACAGCTGGCTACACCTGCAGTAGCATTGGTGGAGCTGGACTCAGTGCAGCCTGTCCAGTTTGCTCCAGCCACCTGTCAAAATTCCTAATGATTCCCCAGCTGCATCTAGAGATTGTTTCCAGATGCCCCTTGTCTTGAGGCCCATAGCTTAGCTTGGCAGCTGGTTTCATCCCTTTCCTGGAAGCTGCTGTCTTCCAGGAGGGGATGACTAGGCAATTTCTACTGGCTTCCCATTGTGTCCCTGCAGTCCTTGCCACAAAACTGGGTAATTTGTCCCCAAGTGACCATGTGACCTTTCCTGCACAGCACCTCAGGAATGATCTTGAAAGGCTAATTGTGTAGATGAGTCTATGCATGGGAAATTTGGTGCATTGCTGCTGGGAAAGGTTGTTGGCAAGGTGACCAAGTGAGCTGGTGCTAGTTTCACTGCTGATAGACAAGCACTTTTTCCAACACTGTCGATGCTCATCTAGGCCAGACCTGAACTCACTCCCAGCTGTCCCTTCAATTACACTGCACCAGGCTTACCCAGTTAAAACATTCCCTTGATATTGTCTGAGTTGTCAATTCTGGATAAGATTTTTTGCTAGATAAAGTTAAGACAATAATTCAGTTTCTTTGTCCAGTTCTGGGCTTCTGTTCTGATCCTGCCAATACAGGTGTTGATTAATGAAACCATGAGCAGTCACAGAAATTTCTTTTGCAATGTAACAGTTGTTCAGGGGATACCAGTTTGAGATGCAAATTCTTTTATAGTTAATGCTGCAATGGGGTCTGTTAAAGCTTCTGCCAATCACAATTCCCTCTTGTAGAAGTAGCAAAACCAGTATCTGTTGTTTGGATGCTCAAAAAAAAATTATTAAAATAGTTCACTCTCACATTTTTACCACTGGATTTTATTAATAAAATTGAGTGGTGGGCTGGACTTTCTTGTGTAACTAGAGAGAGAGGTCAAAATAGGGAATGATGCCTTTAGAAGGAGAAAACAACTCTCATGGACTTTTTGTAGCAATGCCTTTTGTCATAAGTAGATGTAAGAATATCTTTCCATTACCAAATAGTAATGTTTAAATAAAATTTCTAAAAACTAATGCCCTCAGTAAGATGGAAGTATTTTGGTTGGGAGGTATTCCTTTTCCATGGAGAGTCTGATAAAATTGGAACAATATGGCAGAGCTATAGTGAATATCCCAGCTGTCATCTTCTTTGGACTTCACCAAATGAATTATATTATGAAATTTGATATATGTTGAACAGAACCAGCTACCATAATAATTCTAGGAAAACTGATTAACAAGAGGCTATGCTAGGTATGAAGTCTTCTTTGACCAATGTATTTTTTGTAGAAGAGCACACCAATGCAATTATTGCCCCCTGTTGCTAAGAAGTTTTGAGCAATTTTGCAGATCTCTGCATTCAGCCACATTTAATTCAGTAGTACCAAATGTCCATACAGGGTTAGTTACTTGGAATAAAATGGTTGTTAACCTATGTCAGAAGTCTGTGTTAATACATCAAGTAAGTTCAATCATTTTGATTCACACAATCGAGAACCAGGGTCTCTTGAATGACTTGTGTGAAAGGTGCACCAGTATATATGAAAAGTTTACAGACAGTAACTCACTGAGTTTGGCCAAGGAAAACCTTGAATGGCTTTCCTATTGCCACAGGGCGGTGTGCCTTACCTTACTTAACAGAAAAACAAGGTGTTGAGGTGGGAACTTGTGCCGACTGCTAGAAGTAAGTTCATTTTGTTAAAAGAAAATTTTTTTTGTCCTCTTTTACACACAAATGAGGCAAAAATGATGTACCTGTGCTGCAGACATAGCTTTTGTAATACATAGTGTGAGTTACTTCAAGCTCCAAATTAATTGGAAGGCAGTGCAATGTTACTCATTTCCTTTGACTTCATTTACATTAGATGCTCTGTGTGTTTGAAGGTAGAAGAGGTGCTTACTGATGGACGTCGAATCATCACTTTCCGCAATGGTACTAAAAAAGAGATCAGTGCTGATAAAAGGATGACAATGATTAGCTTTTTCAATGGAGATATAAAGAAGATCATGCCAGATCAGCGAGTGGTGTGTAACTTCTTTTTTTTCTTTAAGGAAAATAGAATTATTAAGCAATTTTCCAACAAGGTCCTACTATTTATCTTGATCTATCAATTCTGGGAGAAATTGATGAGGAATGGTGTTGGTTTAACAACTCTGAGCAGTGAAACTTGTTCCTCTACAAGGACAAAAGTGAAAAGAGATGAAGGTAACAGTCAAAGAAGGAACAAATGGATAGCTGGCCAAGTAGATTAAAGGAAACTGAAAGAAGGCAAAGGGCAGGGGCAGCCACCTGAAGAAAGTTTTAATGTATTTACAGGGTAGGTAGCACAAGGGGTTCTTCCCTCTTGGCATTATGTAAATACAAATAGTTAATAATGTATGCTAGGGTAGAAATAAGTGAAGCCTTGGCAGCAGTGAGAATGTTTTAAATGAATAGCACATGGATGGGAGCCAAAGCAAAGAGGTGGGGAGATAGGAGTTTCATGTGTCCACTGTTCTCTTGTATGCTACAGAGATGAAAGTAGCATCATTTAGACACAGCCATGAGGAAGGGGATGAATGAGATAAAGGAACAGCAATGCAAACATAGCTACTTTTATGGGTGGCACAGAAAATCACCTTGAAATGACTTTTTTAAGATGGCTTATTTTTAAGCAGAGTTACGGTTGAATCTGCTTATGCAAATATTGTGAACATGCTGTAAACACTTCACTCTCCTTCCAGATTTATTATTATGCAGATGCAAAGACAACCCACACTGCTTATCCAGATGGCCTGGAGGTGTTGCAGTTCCCTAATAATCAGATAGGTATGCAAGAGCTCAAAAATGTGAACTATATGTGCAGTAAGATTTCTATTATGAAAGTCCAAATCTGATTCCAGCAGACTGGGTATTTTCTTCTCATTTTGCATTAGCTTTGCATATAACTTTCAGTATTTTCCAGCACTTTACTGTTTGGTTTCCTCCTACAAAGCAAAAATAATAATGGGATGTAAATGCATCTGTTCTAATGTTGATTATCTGATTCTTTAATTTCTTTAGCGATTTGCTGGATATAATTTCCATCCTCACTACAAGGTTCAAAAAATTATCTGGTCTAGCTCTGTGCAAAGCAACATGAAAGAATACTAGACAGACTTTTTATATCTTCTTTTCCACAGAAAAACATTATCCTGACGGCACAAAAGAAATTGTGTTCCCAGATCACACAGTGAAATGTCTCTACAGTGACGGACTTAAGGAAACTTTTTTCCCAGATGGTACAGTAGTAAAAGTAGAAAAGTAAGTCTCGTGTTAATGAAAGGAACCAGGCATTAGACACAGGTACATTGGTACTGACATTTAAAACTGTGGGTGGATTCTGCATGGCTGGGAAATTTTCAGATGAAAGGATTTGTAAGATAATGAGATTTTGCTACAGTGAGGCACTGAGAATTGTTAACTTCCACCTTGGATGATAGGTGACCATTTATCACTGGCAAAGTGACTGAAATATTCCTCATTTAGTTCCATGTAACTTTACACTGGCCAGGGTTGCTGGGAGCACGGCTGTCTGTGCTAACAATGCAGGTACTAGAGGACTCAGGAGGAGGTCTCCCGAGTTCTATTCCTAGCCTTCTGGCTCATTTTCTGGGCTTGGGCAAGGCATTTCATGTATTATTTCTCTATTCCTCCCTGTAAAATGAGGAAAAACAACAGGACTTTCTTACACATGCCTCTTCTGGACTTAGAAAGAATCCTGTTGTAAAATAGATTTTCTGCTTGAAAAATGCCTTGAGATCCCTGCATGAAGAAGTCATGTAAAATGCAGATCTCACCATCCATTAGGTATCATACTATGTACTGAAGTACCTTTGTATTGAAATCTCATTGTGAGATCAGATCTCTAGTGCCATCCCATGCTGAGAACGTCTCCACTTGACATTATTTTCCACTTTCATTGTGTCACATGAGACAGCTCAGTGAGATAGGTTAATAGCAGACAGTGCCTCCTCATCACTTCATTCATTGTTATTTCTTTCAGGAATGGAGATAAAATAGTGGTATTCAGTAATGGCCAAAAGGACATTCACACTGTGCAGTTCAAGAGGCGGGAGTACCCAGATGGCACTGTAAAAACTGTGTACTGCAATGGCAGACAGGAAACCAAGTACTCAACTGGACGAATTCGAATCAAAGATAAAGAGGGTAACATCATCCTAGATAAGAAGTGACTCCTCTCCTCAAAGGGCTGAACCGTACGTAAGTAGCTCAGTCCATTTTCTTGGCAGGTCAGAACTGTCAGAAAGATTTAAGTCTTGTAAAAATGAATGGATGGATCTGTAGGGCTTAAATTCACTTTGGCTCAGTGACTGGTGCTTAGTTTGGAATAACCTTACCTGAATTAAGTGTTTCTTGAGTGAGACTTGAAGGAGATGCAGTCATGCCCTCTTTGTGTATGTAACATTAAAATAAATGCTCAGCAAAGTGTTTGTTGCATGATCCTGATCACCCTTTCCCTTGTTTTACTGCTACTTAACTGCAAAAGTGACTACAATTAAGGAGCATGGCATAAGAAGCCCAAATCTACAGAGTTTTTTGAATTTCAGTTCAGTGCTGCCTTATGCTGAATAAAACAAGCCTATATGTTGGGTTTTTTCTCTCAACCATCACAAAAAATATGGAAGTAATTAATGTTTCCAGTTTGGTTGGGTTCTTTGGAGCAGAAGATCCCAGCATGTATCAGGCCTGTACATTAGATGAAAACCTGAGCAGGAGTTGAGTGAGCAGTCACAATTCTAGATGTCCCTTAAAACCTATATTATTCAGTAACTATGTGATCATAATCTAAGGAATCTGTCTTGTGCATCTGAAGATGAAATGTAATGTTTATTCCATTCTAGTCATTATTCCAGATTAAAGAGCCCTTTCTTCTTCCTCCAGCAGTCTTTCCTCAGACCTCTTGCGTTGTACTGTTTTTGAATTAACCTCTCTCACTATTGCCTCTATTTTGCCAATAGTGCAAAAATATTTCTGGTCAGTGAATCTCTCCAGCTTTAAGGATCTTTGGATGACACTTGATACCTAGGGGGTTTAATCATTTATCAGATCCTGCTTTCAACTCTCTTCCCCATAGATTGCCTGTCCATCATCTGTCTTGAATTTTTCCAAAGCAGTGAAGGATTTCCCCTGTAGAACTCAGCTCATTACCTGCCCATTGACTGAGAAGACCATTTATATCCTTATGCCCTTCAAATTCCTCTAGCAACAAACACACTTTCATAGCATGCTGCCTTAGCCTTTTCTCACACTTAAGTGCAAAATATTTGCAAGATTATGGAATTGCTTTTTCTTCTCTTCAGTTTCCAGTGGGTCAGTCTATCAGCAAATCACCATGCAAATTACAGAGCATCTTTGGAAGAAACAGATGGAATAGAGCAAGAAGTGTTGCTACTATTGATCATACAGATGCTTCAGTTTATGAATTTAATTATGATGCTCTGAACATCCATGTAGTTTGATGTCAGCTGGTGCAATAATAAAATTGCACTGTGTTTCCTATAACAAAGGAACAATTTATAAGCTTTTTTACTACTATTTAATATATTTTATGCGTTTTGTAAAAGGAAACAAAATAAATCCAAGATATCATCCTTTTCCATGTGTTTTGCTAAGAATTTCAGTTCAGTGCTGCCTTATGCTGACCAAAACAAATCCATGTTGACTTTTTTTCTCGGTTTAGCATCATGACAAAAATGAATGTGATTAATGTTTTCAGTCTGTCTGGGAAACTAGATGTGATATTAATGCTTTCTAAAGGATCACTGTTTTGTTTTTTTTTTTTCCCAGGAATTCCCTTTAATAAAAGGTTCCTGTTCTCTAGTTATTAATATGCTGACATTATCTTTGTTTCTACAGTAATACAGAAAAAAGGCTTTGTTTTCAGCTTTTAGCCTTAAATCGATGTTTACCATCCAATAACCTGTGTATATAGTGCCTTCTAACTGTAAATTAAACGAGGAACAATTTTGTTTGTATGTTGCTTGTTCCTTGCTTCATTAGCACTCTCGACTGCACTTGCAGGGACCGTTTTGATTCTGGAATAATTCAGTGTACGGTACTGCACAGGTGTAACAATAGGGGATATGTGCAAGTGATCCTCTAAAACTACACATGCAGCAATGCATGCATGCAAACACCTTGCTGACGTATGCAAACACCTTCCTGATGCATGCATTCACCTTGTTAGCACCTGCTTACAGGGAGGCTGCAAAACGGGCTTGGTTTTACTTTCTGGCAAATCAACAGCAAACCTTCACCTAGTGAAATCAAAGGGTGAGACTACTGAGGATTTCACAGCGCTATTGCCAATCTGTGTCTGGCCACCGCTTTTACCAAGACACGTTTTTCAAGTGATATTTTATAGTATAATAGTAAAGGGATTATTGAAATAAGGGGCAGAAATCCGATTTGAAAAGAAGACAGAAAAACACCTGCAAAAATGATAAGCTCTGTCAAGTATGTTATAACTGGGAGTCCTTCACAGACCAGTTATGCCACATTATTGTTCACAGGCTGATTCTCACACCCTACCTCCTCCACTTTCCACCTACATTACTTAACCAGAAGCAATAATGGCTCTACCAGCCATAGTTCATAGTTGTGAGATCACAAATAATCCAAATTGCCTATGTACTTAAACTGCAGCAATACACATACCTACTTTACTGTGGATTTTGTCCTAGAGGTTTTACACTGAACAAACTTTTATGAATCATTCAGGGATGTGGAACACAGTTTGGAAACTCCACTTCTTGTCTTTCCACAGGTTTTTTGGCATTAGCAGAAGCATGCTACAGCCAGTATTTGGTTTCCATTTTGATTCAAATTTAGAATACACTGTGACGTCTGAACAGAGTAACTTCCATTCACACAGCTGGGGGCAGCCAACTGTACAAGGAAAGGGTAGTCTTTTGACCATCACCTCAAATGCTTCAGTTCACTGTTAGTATTTTTCCATGCATCACGGATCAGTTTTATCGCAAGCAAAACAAAGCTGCCTAACCACTGTATGCATCAGGTGGCTAATGCAGAGTCTGCGAGAGAGAAGTTTGATCCTGTCTTTGGAACATGATATTTGCAGTTTATATTCTGCTCTCTGATAACAAATTTCTCTGTTACCTTGGGAAGTCTAATTATTTCTGTATTGTTTATCTGAAACAAGACATAGATTTTTTAAAAATTACTTTTCATAAGAATTTCTACAGAAACCTACTGGTCATAAAATGAAAATTACTTTTTTTTTTTTTGTTTCATAGAATGCAAAATTTATTTCTGGAAATGAATGTCAGGAAGCTCACTGGATTCTTCAAAAACATGATAGTTTTATGTCATCTGGATTACCTGCACCTTTGTAAGTTGGATGCATGTTGAATGCTCCCTGGTGTAAAGGGATCAGTTTTTCAAGTCATAAAGACCCCTTAATTAGGAAAGTAAAAGAAGAAAAGATCGCAATAAACAACGACTGGCATTTCTGAGGATGTTTTGAGAAATGCAATTCTCCATTTTTATTCTGGGATTAATATTGCAAGAAGTACATTTAAAAATTGTTACTCTAATTTAAAAAAAAAATAATAATCTCATGGTAATTGTTAAATTACAATTTTTAAATTGTGTAGTTTGATATATCTCTCTTGCTCATTCAGTTTTGGTGTACATCTACCTCCTTCCAGCTAAAGTTGTCATTTATAGTATGTCTATATAACTTAACATCATGAAGTTACACAGAAGTTTAGCCTAGTCTTTTCTTTGTGTTCTGATGTTCTGATGGTAACTGTTTGCTCATTAATTTGTTTATTTCCTTTATGATGCTCTTTATATCTGTCCCATCCCTGGAAGCTTGAAGTGCAGCTTCATTGAAAGGAAAAATAAGGACAAAATCTCCTACACGGGGGATAGGCCTCTGGTCTTTATCAGAGAGGAAATAGGGGCATGTGGTTAACCTGTAATTGCCAAAGTCAGGTGTAGGTAGCCAGCAGCTGAGCTGGGCAGACTTCTGTGGAGAATGCCCAGCTCCAGGGAAGTGTTTATTTTTAGTTTCAGCTTTTGCTTGGGAGGGTATTTTTGGCATGTTCATCCTTTCCCGCATCTGGGAAGTCAGTGTTTTTCTTGGATGTGCTCTGGCAGTTCTCCTGGTCAGGGTAGACACCTTACGAATTGATGGTCTTGAAGCCTGCAGAGCAGATTGTTCAGAAGAAGTACATTTAGCCACATTTTGGCAAGTGAGTAAGCCAGGAATCTCCTCCATGGCACTCTCACCAGAGGTGCTCCTTCTGCCAGCCTTTATCCCGGCCACTTGGTTTTGCCTGAAGGTGTCAATCTGCTTGTAGTTCAGCAGTTCAACAATATCATGAAGAAGTTTTCTTTTCACAATGTCATCAATGGAACAGTCTAAACACAAGGCTGGATTGTAGTTGACTTCTAAAAGCCATGGCTTGAATTTGTCATCAATCAGGATGTCAAAGCCAAAGAGCTCAAAGCAATTGGAAGCCACTGGTAAGGGGGTTACAGCCAGAAGGGTGAGAATCACTATGTTATTGATCTTCTGCCAGAGGACCATGTCATCAACCCCAAATATTCGAAGATAGGAACGAAATTTGCTGAATGTCCATTTGCAGCCACAGCCAATCCCTTCTTTATACTTTTTATATGAGGCTCCATATTTGTTGATGCTGGTGTTTGTTAGGTGGGCATAGACATTGTCCAGAGAACTGAGGTCAAACTTTTCAGTGGCAAACCTCACCAGTCCTTCTTCATAAGTGTAAATGGTGAGGGGGCAAAAACTGGTGACACACACATAAAGGCGCAGATCCAGTTTATAACCTGAAATGAGCAAGGGGTTGCTAATATACTTCTGCACAATGACTGTACAGTCATATACTAAGTCTTTAACATCTTGGAAAATGAGTATGCCCCTTCCACGGGAGAGATCCACAGGCTTGCAAATCCAGTAGCTAGGTCTTCTGTCTACTGACTGTCTCTCCTTGCTGTATTCTGCTATAAATTTGACATAGTCATTGGGCATGATGAATGCCACTGGACTAAATTCATACAGAGCTGATCCATATGCTCCTTTCATACGTTTCAGATGCCTTGCCAAGTAGTCTTTTCTGGTGATCCGGACAGCTTCTGGGTAGTGGTTGAGTCTCTGCCATGGTCTAATGCTGTGGTGGTCTTTCATGTGGAAAGGTGAGTTCCGCCAGTACAGGTTCCAGTCTGCATCATCTTGTCCCTTTTTGTCAAACTCAGACCAGCCGCGTTCCAGTAAAACCTCACGGACTATTGTAGGGACATTCTCATGGAGACGGAACACCAATGGCCTCAAGGTATCTCTTGTGTCATAGTCATCTGCCTTCATTTCCATCTTACTAGCTGAAAGAAAATAGAACCACCAGGAAGGAAATGAAATTAATGCCACAGATTGTGCCAGCAGTCATCACCTTCATTGCATTCTTAATGCCTGTCACTCTCAATGTATTCTCAAAGCATGTTGCCCCTGTTTGTTTCTATGGTCCATGACTCATGACTGAGAAGTCAAAGGCTGTGTTTCAGTTGGCTTCTATTCCAGATAGCTGTTAAGGCAGCACAAAGCACTGACTGCTACAAAGTTATATGTCTCCACACTCTCTTTATGTTTTCTTTGAGGTAGCTTACTACAGCAGTAGTTGTCCCAAAGCTTTTACAATTCTTAGACATTATTTTAGCAACTGCTGTCAACCTAATGGCTGTAACTTTGCCTTGTAAGTCCTACTTCGCACTGCTGCATAACTGAGACATTCTGCCAATTTAGCATGTTGCCCTGCTCTGAGCAAACCCTCTTGGTTAAGATTATAAAGCCCATTGCAAAACTGTCAGTAAACCGTAGGAAAATGCCTATTGATTCCAATGCTCTTTTCATCTTCTAACATATGCTGATTTAAATCGCTGATAATCTTCTGCTGTTGCCCCAGTGAAGTCCTCCCCAGTTCCTGAAAAGCAGGGAGCATTCTTGTCTCATCACTTTCCTCTCAAGAAAATAATGTTCCATAGAAATGTATGTAGATTCTGAATGAAATACCATTTCCTACTATTGTCCTGGTTCAGCTAGGATAGGGTTGAGTTTCCCCAGAATGTGGTGAGGGAGCTCTAACCGGGTTATTCAATACCATGCTGATGTCAGGTCTGGGCGTCAAGCGCGGGAAGATCTGGGGTGATGTCTTGTGTTCGTGGTCGGTACCCTCACTTGCTGTACTCCATGCGGTATATCTCTTATTCTGTTCATTGTTATTACCATTATTGTTGTTGTTGTTGTTCGGTTTATTATTTGTTACACTGTTGTATTAAATTTCTCCTTATTTCAACCCCGGGGTTTATATTTTACTC